TTTTTTTCCCAGGTAACTAGTCAGGGGAGGGTCTGAGTTGTGAATACTCAGCATCCGGCTCAGCCACCTGGAAGAAGCCAGCTATACTTGCCCGTCCCCAGCTCTACCTGTAGGGAGGACCCTGCAGAGATGGGGCCCCGTGTGATAAACGGAAGAATGCTGACGGGCCACTCGGTCTGTGGGTGAGTGTATCCCCATAAATTATGGGGCAGTCTTTGTGCAAATCAACCCTACCCTAGAATTTTCATGGGTCCTACTTAAAAGTAGAGGCCTTAATCTTTCTGATAACCAGGCTCTCCAGGCCTGGGGCTGTTTGCTTAAGTTTGCTCCCTGGCTGCCAGAGAGTAACCTTTTTGACTGGGATACTTTGGTTACGGCATTAGAAGAGCTCAGGTGGAAAAAGGAGAGATTCCCTCACTGAGGACCCTCCCAACAGTGTCTGAGTTAAAGGGTTGCTTCCCCCCGACCTGTAGGGAGAAGAGTGAGGCCCCAATCCAGGAAGGGACAAAAGGAGATAAAGAAACTCTGGAAAAACCAAAGCAAATCCTAGTCCCTCACACCTCCCTGCACCCCTGTATTCATCTCTAGACTTCTTTTGAAAGTGCTCCTTGGAAGTCTAAAGTCACACAGCTTCCAGGTCCCCCTATTAGTCATTTCCGGAACCCCCGTGCACCACAGCATTACTGCGGGGAGGATGCTTCTGGGGGAGAAATGACCAATCTTTTTCCTGTCAATGTTAACCCTGGTGGTAACTGCCTGGCTTCCTGGTACCAATGGGAAGCACATAATTTAAAGGAACTCAAAGAGGCCTTCTCAGAGCCCAAACCCAGGATTGGAAGGACCTTGCTAGGGCAGTGCTTCCCGGATCCATGTTTCTGAAGTGGAGCACATTTTTTTCAGGATGAATGTTGCATCCAGGCAGAATGAAATCAGAAAGCCTGCCCTGTGGTCCTAATTAATTTTGGCATGCTTTGGGGCACCACTGACCACTTCTCTACCGATCTTCAACAAGTCTTTGGAATTCTCTGGGTTTTCTTATTTTAAAAAAAGAAGTCCAATGGCTCTTGGAGGCTTTTACATGATTTGAGGAAAATAAATGAGAGATTGATACCTTTTGGGACCCCGCAAAGGGGACTCCACTGGATTCCAGCCTTTCCCAACATCCATTATTTAACTATTATTGATATTAAGGATTGCTTTTTTCTCTGTCCCATTACATCCCGATGATGTAGAAAAATTGCCTTTTCCATACCTTCAACAAATTTTTGCGGGCCAGATCTAAGATTTAAAAGGACTGTCATACCCTAGGGCATGGCCAAAAGCCCTCCTATTTGTCAGTATTATATATTACACATTTTTTCTTCCTTGATTGGTCATCCTAATATATTATTCTATATTTATATGTATGATATTATTTGGGTTGTTCTAACGCATCTGACCTCCAAGGTCTTAATTCTAAACATCTTGCCATATTAGAGGCCCATGATTTTAAGGTTGCTCTTGAAAAGTTTCAGAATAGTCCTCCTTTTAAGATTTTGGGTTCCATGTTATTTCTTGATGCTGTCTCTTCTGTTAAACTCCAACTTCATATTCAGGATTCTTATACCTTGCCCTAGGTCCAACAGACATTGGGGGAAATTAATTGGCTGAGGCCCTAGATTTCTATAACTACTGAGGAATTGGCTCCTTTGTATGAGCTCCTAAAAGGTCATGATCTCTCCTCACAGATAATTCTATCTGCTGACCATTTACAGATTTTAAGTGAAGTTCAACAGGCCATAGACACAGCAACCTTAAGGGGGTATGATCCTCTTTTGCCCCTCACCCTTTGCGCTTTTCCTAGGAAAAGGTTATGTACTGCCTTATTAGCACAAGAGGGTGAGCCCATACATTGGATTCAACTCTCGATTGGTGGTTCCCCCAGAGTCTATTCAATAACCAATCAGATTGCTGATTCCATTGTTAAGGGCAGGGTCACCTCTGTCCAGCTGTTTGGCATAGACCCTAATCTTATTGTAACTCTCTTTAAGACAACAGATTTCACCTGGCTTCAGAGAAACACTAGCGGGATTGCTGCGGCTCTTGAGGGGTTTCTGGGTAAAGCTGATTGTCACTATGGTCCTCACAAATGGATGAGCTCTTTCATAGGTTAGAATGGAAGCCCCCCCAGACTGTTTTTAACCTCAACCCAACTCTGGCTTCCTTACCGTGTTTACTGATGGTGGCACCTGGTGGCTTCTTTAGTCATTTATCCCCATTAGAACATGGTAAAGAGCCAGTGCCCATAAAGTCAGTCTCCCATAAAGTTGAGGCGTCAGCTCAATTTAAGGAACTGTTTGCTGTTGTTCTTGCATTAGACACTATTCAAGATTCATTTAGCTTATTCTCTGTTAATTTGTTACCCAACCTAGTTGAGGCCCATATTAAGCTGGACTCCAATCCTATATCACCTTTAATGATTCAACCCCGCTCCCTACTCAAAAAAAGAACTAACCCTATTTTTCTTCAACATCTCAGGAGTCATCAAAATGCACATGGATTTTTTTCTGAAGGAAATAATTTGGCTGATAAATTGGCTTCTATGCCTCAATGTAATACTGTTACAGAAGCTACATGCTTCCACCTACTGACTGTTGTTAAAATGTCTCGGTTCCTGGACAGGGAACCAATGTTGTTAAAATGTCTAAGTTTATCCAGTAACGAAACACAAACCCTGACTCAATGATGTCACATGGAGTTTATTGGTAGACAGGGAGGGAAGGGGGTGGGAGGTAACCAACTCGTAAAGAGCTGAGAGAGAGATAAGATATGAGAGAGAGAGAGAGAGAGAGAGAGAGAGAGAGAGAGAGAAGATGAGATGGAGAGGAAGATGAGAGTGAGAGAGTAAAAGAGAGTGTAAGCAGTCTGTCCTTTAAAGGGGTCCTTTGCACCTGTGTGGTTCTCACAGAACTCTAGGCTGGCTAGAGTATTGCCTGAGTGCATCTTTCTGGGAACAGGGCAGGCCAGCATAATGCCTGAACCTTTAAATGACCCATTTTAATTGGAGGGGTCTTAAACACAAGTATTCACTTATTCCAGTCAAGGACCTTAAAAAGATTGTCGGAACTTGTAAGTACTGCCAGACTTTCCTTCAGATGAACCCCTCCAAACTATTGGAAGCAACCCTCGAGGGCTTCTTAATAACCTTTGGCAAATTGATGTTATTCATTATTCTCCATTTGGAAAGTTAAAGTATATTTTTTCTCTCCATTGATGGGTTTTTCCAATGCCTGCTGGGCATCAGCACATGCTGGGGAAAAAGGTAAAAATGAAATTACCCATATGTTTCAATTCTTTGCAACCCTTTTATTGCCTGATCAGATTAAGACAGATAATGGCCCATGCTTTGTAAGCAGGGCCTTTGTGGACTTCCTTAAGACATGGAGCATCTCACACTCCACAGGCATCCCAAACAATCCTCAGGGTCAAGCAGATGTGTAAAGGTATAATCAAGCTCTCAAATCTCAATTACAAAATCAAAAGGGGGAATCTACACCCCCACATGATCAATTAAAAAGGCATTATTCACCCTAAATATTTTAAATTTTTCTAAAGAAGATAAATACCTGTCTCCATTACAAAAACTTTGGTCCTCTTCGGTTACCTACAGTTCTATTTGAGTCAGATGGAGGGACCCATTGACAGGGATCTTGAGAGGACTAGACCCCCTCCTCTCAGCAGGAAGATGATTTGGATGTGTCTTCCCTCAAAATGAAAAAAGATCAATTTGCCTACCAGTGAGAGACCTAAAATATTTGCCCCAACAAGGGGACAATGACCATCACATCTCCAGGGAGTGCTCCATTTCTGAGAACTGTACCTCTGTTTCCCCTCAGGAACGAATGAAGATGTGGGTAATGCTGCTCTTCCTGGTACCGATGATGCTCATCCTGCCCAGTGATGGAAGATTTGGAAACCCATACAACACCAAAGTTATCCTGACTCATTTGATGGGGAAACCCTGTGACTGCCAGGGTGGAACATAGTCAGTATCTCCCTTTAGTGGACAGTCATACAACAGGTAGATTGTGATACGAAGATAGCAGTCAATATGACTGACACATCAGGATCCATTTTTTCAAATTCCAATAAGTGGATAAGCATAAAGAAGCCCAAGGTTATCCCCCAGGTTGATGCGAAGCCAGGACCCTGTCCTTGCACTGCTTTCTGTCTGACAATGCATTTGGCCTGCTATGGCATTGCCCAAATGTGCACCAGTAGTTCCACTAAAAAGACTCACTGGACCTGGGTATGAAATTTAGTGCTCTCTGGAGGTGAGAGGGGTTGGATTGCGAGAGATGGAGGGTGTGCCTCTGCACCTTGCTTTGGAGCCCCAGGTAAAACTGTTTGCTGGGAACTTGCCCCCCTATTGGTTATTCAGATGGGGGAGTTTAACATCATGTTAGGGAACAAAACGTTCATAAAAAGAACAACTTGTTTTGGACTAGTACCCAGAGGTCAACTATCACCCTGTTGTTCTCCCTGAAAATCAGGGTGAGCTAGTGCTCGACCCCCATATTGAGTCTCTGCTACAAATGGTCTTTGCCTTACTAAATCAAATGACTCCTTCCTTTGCACAGGATTGCTGGCTTTGCCTCCAATCTGGACATCCTTGGCTGCTTGCAGTGGTCTCTAATGATACAGTCACAGATGCCCCTAGTACTATAAAAGATTGCTCAGCCACATTTCCCATCCATGTAAAGCTCCTCCCAATGAAACTTTCTGGGACTTGTATTTGGACCCCGACTACTACTGATAAATCCACTGTAGATGTAGGCCACATTGATCCATCTTTCTGTAATTCAAATACAACCAAATCTAATGCTCAACGCTGCCCACCTTCTGGAATGGTCTTTGTCTGTGGAGGTGGGATGGCATATGACTTCCTGCATGCCAAGTGGACAGGCCTTTGTTCCCCAGCCACCTTGATTCCTGATGTGGATATTCCTGGGGATGAGGCTCTTCTTGTGCCCTCTTGATTTCATTGGTGGGGACCTACAAGGGCCATATAGATGATTCCTATACTTGCTGGCTTGGAAATATCTGCAGGTATGTCCACTGGGCCTGCAGGGCTAGGCATGGCATTTGAGCTCCACAGAAGGCTCTCTGCCCAATTGGTTAGTGGCATAAAGGCCATGTCTAATACTATCCTTCATCTCCAAAAGCAGCTTGATTCCCTGGCTAATGTAGTCATACAGAACCAAAGGGGATTAGACTTATTAACAGCCCAAAAGGGAGGCATATGCTTGTTTTTACAGGAAAAGTGCTGTTTTTATGCCAATAGATCAGGGATCATTCAGGACAAGATCAAAAGTTTTCAGGAGGACTTGGAGAGGAAAAGGCTGGACCTCTGTGACAATCCGCTGTGGACTGGCTTAAATGGCTTCTTACCCTTCTCCTCCCACTGCTTGAGCCTGTACTCCTCCTCCTCCTTATCCTCACTATTGGGCCCTGCATGATTAAAAAGGTCATGCAATTTGTTCACCAACAGGTAGAGGCAGTAAAACTTCATCAGGTCGAAGTTCATTATCATAGGCTCGATACTAAGAGGCAGGCTCCTTGTGACTGGAAGTCCTCATACGAGCATCCCTCCCCTGCCCTCTTCCTGACAAGTGACAGGCAACTTCTCAGACAGACTGGGACATCCTAAGACAGGTCATGGAGTGGTCCATTTAACGAGCTGGATACATGGTACTTTGGGACCAGTAAATTTCCCAATGGGGGACCACCTAAGACAGGCCATGATTTCTGCTGTTCTTACAAAAACAAAAGGGGGAGATGTTGGGCCTAAGAAAGGCTTGGATGATAGGCCCAGTGTAACCTCCTGAGCCTGGCTAGAGTTTAGCAACCTGTCTCTAACTTGTACCTCAATGTGGGGGTGACTCAGCCATATCTGTTTGCAAGATTGCCCCCTGCCTAGCTACCTGCCTGCTTGGTGGAAAACTATTGCCCCTTAACATCTCATGTCACCTTACCCTATCCCAAGATTCCCATCCCCTACCTCAGTCCTATGTAATTTCCTGTGTGTTGGAATAAATCGAGATCCTATTTCGACAGACTCCCGACTCAGTGTGTGTTTTCCCTGGTAACTAGTGAGGGGAGGGTGAGTTGTGGACACACAACATCCAGCTTAGCCCCGGGGTAGTGGCCCTTCCCCTGCTCTAACTGCAGGGAGGACCCTGCACAAGTTCTTATTGCTTACTGGAGTTAATCTTCCCTAAATAAACAATGGTGTCCATTCCTACACAGCTGTTATCCTTCTCATGCTGTTATAAGAATTCCTCACAATGGGGAGGTGGTGGCACATGCCTTTAATCCCAGCACTCAGGAGGCAGAGGCAGACAGATCTCTGTGATTCAAGGCCAGTCTGGTCTATAAGGGTAATTCTAGGACAGCCAATCTTTTACACAGAAAAATCCTGTCTTGAAACAAAACAAAACTACAAATCAAAAGAAAACAGACTTTCTCCCATTAACAAGGTCACGGAAGACATGTTTTCTTCACTCAGGAGTCTCAATGTTTTAAATATGGAGGGCACTGTGGAAGATTTCATATAGGGTGACAAGAAGCAAACCAGACAGGACCCTCCAAATGTGGCTGCCTTTCTTTCCTCCCTTTTATTCCATCCAGACTCACAGTCTCAGGGATGGCTCTACCAAATTTCCCTGGTTGTCCTACCCCTCCTGGATCACACTCCCTGATCCACTTAAGGGTGTGTTATGGGAAGATCCTAAATATTTCTCATTCCATCATGCTGACTACTAAGATTCAACTTCTTACTACCTCATAATTTTTAATCCTTCCCTGGTGATTTCTGTCTTCCTTAAACTTTGAACTTACATGTGTACTCTGCTGGGCTTAAAGTGAGACAGAATTCTGTCTTTGAAACTGTGAGGAATGTATTCAAAGTTACTGTAGAAGGGATTTTGAAATGGTTGCCCTTAGAATGTGATCTGTAAATGCTCCCAACCTCTATTATCTCTATACATTTATGATGTCTGGGGGGAATCAATAAGCCTAAAGGACAAGAAAATAACCTCGGTTATTCAATCCACTCAGAAATTTCCAGCGTGGCTCTCCTGAAATTCTGCTCCTATGCTGCTTCTCCCTTCACACAGGATAAATCAATCAATTGATTCTCATCTCTGATTTTTTGCTTCCTCACTTAGGAATCTATTATAGGTGGTCATCTAGTAGAATCAATGACTCTTCTCTATGTGGTTTTACAGTCAGGGTGGCAGATACAACTTCCCTCAAATGTGTCATTTGAAATGCAAGTAGGTGGTCACTGCAGGACCCCTCATTTCCAAAAGAAATGCTCTACTTTGCCAGCCCAGAGACATCCCATGAGCATGCTCCTGGAGAGGAGAGAAGCTTCTCATGGGGGAACTGAGACCCACCCATGAGGCTGTAGGACTGGATATGTTTATAGAATCTGTTACCGAGTGGGTCAGGTGGATCTTTAATTTCAGGCAGGAGGCTGTCTGCCGGACCTTGCCCAGCCAAAAGGTTTCAGGCCCCCAACAGTGGATACAGAAGTGTCATCATTACCAGAGAAAGCCATTGGTCATAGGAAAAAAACCTGAAACACATAGAAAGACGTATAAATACAAATGCAAACAACATTCAAGACAGAGGAAGAGAGAGAGAGAGAGGCAGAGACAGAGGCAGAGACAGATACAGACACAGAAAGACACAGAATGGGATCAAGAGAAATGTCTTGATGTCTCCCTGAAGTTTTCTTCCATCTCTTTCTGCTTTGGTACAACTCAGTGTACATCCCATGCCAGATGACTCCTGATTCCACTTCACCAGGCTCTCAAGTGCTAGGGCCCATATGGTGAACCACAAGCATTCCATCCACTTAAAAGCATGTTTCAATATCTCTTCTTCATCCCCATTCCAAACAACTTATTATTGTGTTTTTTATGATTTAAAAAATCCAGTGTTTAAATACAGTCCTCAGAAGACAGTGGTAGGCAGATCACTAATTTTTGAGCCAATCTGGTCTATAGAGTGAGTTCCAAGACAACCAAGGCTGTGTAGGACACACCATTTCAAAAACAGTAAAAGACAAAATGAAAATCAGGTTGAAAGTTGTTTTTCATTCAGTGTGGTGGTTACCACCTGCAGCTCAAGATACCCTTGTGATTGACTTAGCAGGATTGCTTATGTACAGGAAGGTTATTGTGAACAGTAAATCAATATCCCATCTAGAAATGTATCAAAATAAGTATGTTTTCTCTGAATGTGTAATAAATGTGATATTCTAAGCAGTCTTCTCTGACATAGGCCTGCATTGGGAAACTGAGGTTGTAAATATCCAGAGAGTTTGATAGATGTGTCTGAGTATACCAAATGAGTGTCCCTCTATAAGAATAAAACAATCTCAATAACTCCCTAACACAATGTTCACTCTTTCATATATAACACCCTCCCCAAAGGACAGATTCTGAAGCTGGAAACATTGCTGTCCTACAGTGAATTATATTCACAGTGCAGTGGCAGCCTGGAATTCTCAGGGAGTTTAAGTAGAACCAGGGAAGCACAGTTATTTCAGATGAAGTTGTTTTACTTGAGTTACTTACTCTCTAAAAACTAAAACAAATAAACATTAAATGAAAGAAAAAAACAACATTTCAGTTTTCTGTAATTTTTAAACATAGTTGAACAAAGACATGGATTCAAAGACAATATGTAAGTAATGAGTAATGTGTAATTATTAATGAAGTGGCAGAAGTAAAGGTGTGTCTCCCAGCCTCTAGATCCAGATTAAGGTTGTGTGTCTTCATTACCTCAAAAGTCCCGATTTGAAGGGGATCTGCCCACTTAAACAATAATTTCTCACAGGTGTGCTCTGTAATTTTGAGTATTGTTAATTCCAGATATAGTCAAGTTGAGAACCAAGAGTAGCCACCTGCAGTGTGTTTGCAATGAGTGCAGCTATAAATATCTTCAGGGAAGTGTGGTTTTTCTTAGCCTGTCAGTGGTCTTAGGTTTCACAATATGGACAGCAGATAAAGAGACTATACAAGGTGAGTGGGAAACAGAGCCAGGAAGTCCGGAAGGTGGCTCTCCTCTTTCCTATTGTTTATTCTATCCAGAACCACAGGTCCAGGATGACTCCACAAAACTGTAGTGGTGTTTTTTTCCCTGTCTCTGAAATAATCCTACAAAGAAAGAGTATTCCAGACTCATCTATGAGTGTGGTTAATGAATATCCTATGTCCTTCTCATGTCAGTCACATAGTATGAGTCTCAGTAGG